CATGCAAACGTGGTGTAAAAAGTAAAATAAATAAAAGAGTTTGAATGTTGGGTTGTTTCCCAATAAACGCTTATTTTATAGTCTTTAGATAGAATGTATAAAGGAATTGATCAAGGTGGTTCATGTTTGAATTGTGCAACCTTACACTCCTTGCAATTTCTAGCTTTACATCCTCTTTTTGCCATCCAAACCTTGAAATCTCTGCTCTTCCCTCATCCAAGGTTCTTTAAATTTTTAGGCTTAGTCTCATTCGATCATTGTTGCACGGTCTCCACTCTTTCTTTGCCTTTTTGTGGATCTCTTCATGTAATGGATTCCCAATAATGTTGTAGATCTTGAACTTCTCTTGCTTATCTTCCACTCTAAATATCAGTTCGCCATTTTCAAAATCCATGATAGCTCGGCTTGTTGATAAGAAAGATCTACCCAAGATAAGTAATGTTGTATCCCATGGCTCCTCTATATGTAAGACAACAAAATCAGTGGGAAATATGAGTTTGCCCACTTTAATGAGTGCGTTCTCAACCACTCCTCATGGGTATTTGATTGATCTATCTATTAATTGAAGAGAGATGGATGTGTCATTTAGCTCTTCTAATCCTAATTTCATGTATACAGAGAAAGGCATTAGATTTATACTTGTTCTTGAGTCATATAAACAATTAAAATTTGAATCATTCCCTATTAAGCAAGGTATTTTGAGACTCCCTAGATCTTGTAGTTTATGAGGTAATTTGTTCTGCAAGATGGCACAACACTCCTCATTTAACTTGATGGTCTCAAAATCTATAAGCCTTCCCTTTTTGGATATGATCTCTTTTAGAAACTCTTTATAGTTCAGTATTTGAGATATAGTTTCAATCAATGGGATGTTGATGTGAAACTTCTTGAAGATATCCAAGAACCTTGCAAACTATTCTTCCAGCTTCCACTTTTATAATCTCCGTTTCTTTTATAATCTCCGTGGAAATGGGACATGAGGCACATGAGGTTTGATAGGAACAGTTGCCTTAACATGTAGATTTTCTTACTCTTGATATGGAATTATTTTATTTGGCTGTTCAGATTTATCCACTTCCTCCTAATATGTGGAAGGTACTTTTTCATTTACTGTCACCCGTCTCTCGACTGTGATTTCTGGAAGTTGAATGTGTGGTGATTGACTCAATCTCCTCGCTCTCCATAACTTTTACTGCCATTACCTGTTGTTTAGGATTTGTTTTCGGGTCGCTTGGCAGTGTTTCTTACTATCTTTCTGAGAGTGCTTTTGCTATTTGTCCCATCCAATTTTCTAAATTCTTGACGGCAATTCCCTAAATTTGCAACATCTTATTTGTTCTTTGCATGTATTGAGTAGAGATCTCTACCAACTTAGTCACAATATCCTCTAATAAAGATGTCTTCTCATTCTGCTGGAAACCTGGCGAAGTAGTTTGTTGTTGTCCAATTTGAGCCCCCTGATTATTATTCCACTGAAAAACTAGGTAATTTCTCAAGCTTGGGTAATAGGTGTTAGGAGATGGATTGTGTTGCTGCCTCTGAAAATTTTGAGTGTAGTTCACATCCTCCACTGTTTGAGCTAAAGGAGATCCTACGTTATAATCAACACTCTCGTGGTTCCCTTCACAATGTTTGCATTTCAGTCCCACTGTCTGGGCTACGCTCATTTGATCTACCTTCTTTGCAAATTATGCTAAAATTGCCGTCAAAGAATCAACTTCGAATACCCTAGCACCTTTCTTTCCACTCGTCCTTTCAGTAAGCCAAAATGCACTGGTGACTGCAAAATCATCCATGATTTGGTAGACCTGATCCACGATTTTTTGTGATAGAATCATAGCATGCAGAGTCTACATAAGCCCTGCTAATTGGGTTCAGACAATGTAGAAGTATTGCATCTGAAACCGCTTTTGTAATTCGTGTTTTGGTCATTGGTGAAGTAAACCTTTGTAACATTTCTAAACCTCTGAATATCATTCTTAGTCCATTTGCTAAAAAGTAGTGATCTCGTCCCTTAGCTTATTAATCCTTTTTAGTGGAAAATATTTACTAAGGAATTTCTGACTCAATTGGTTCCATATCGTGATGCCCTGCAGTGGACAAGTGTCTAACCATTCCTTACTGAGTCCTTCAAGATGTATATGAAGACCCGCAGTTTGATTGCTTCGCTTGAAACCCCCGGATACTCAATTGTTGTACACTTCCACACATCTTAATATATAAGCGTTGGGATTATCTGTAGCTCTCCCAAAATATTGAAGCGCATTTCGGAACATACTGATGACATATGTCCTTAGGTAAAAGCTTGGCTGACCAAACGCTGGATATATGACAACCGGTGGAACCATATACTCTCCCATGAGCATTGTATTTTCATTGGCCGTAGCTATATTCGATTGTGCTACTCCTAGATTAGTCCTCATGGCTAGTTGATTTGGATTTTCGTTTGCCATGTCTTCCTCTAGCTGTTTTTGGTGTGTTTCCAACTGTTGTCTTCTTCCAAAGTTGAATATTCGTTCAATTTCTGGGTCAAATTGAGAAAGATCGCATGTTCTCAAACTTCACATACAACATCCCAAAAAAGAAAGCAAAAAACACTCTAAAATTTTTCTAATATAATAAACTAAACTCTAGAAGAAAAAGAATAAAAAGTAAAATTCAAATTAAAGCTAAAATTAACTAAAACTTATCAAAAACAATAGTCCCCTGCAACGGTGCCAAAAACTTGATCATTTGATTACCCGCAAGTGACGAGATCACAAACAAGTAATATAATAGTGTGTAGAGTGTCGAACCCACGATGACTATGTGTTTGATTAAGTTAAAGTTAACAATTCCCTTAATCGAATAGCAAGATCGAGTTGTAACTAACACTATTAAATTAATTAACTAACTTGAAAGTAATGTAAAAATTGATCAAACTTGTGAAACGTATTGTTAAAATGTAGAATTCCCCTTATTAATCAATTTTTAGTTCAACAATTTAAAATGAAAATTTGAAATCATGCTTCTTGGTCAATTTTCCTATTGTAATTGAAAACCTCTCTCGATAGTTATCAAATATATTCTCCTCATGTGACCTTACTATCTCTCCATGAAAGATGCGAACATGATAAATGCATTAAACTAGCTAAACATCTTATAAGAACTATGTGAAGTATAGAGGTATATCTCTATCCTCTATCGAACCTCACAATGTTTATTATTTTATGTTAATGATCCTATTGACTCTCTCGATAACAACAAAATCCACAAACAATTCAACTAGTGACCAATTAATTGAAAAGCATGAAAAACAATAATAAACATCCAAGAATTCAAACAAATTTAACGTCAATTTAATTATTCAAATAAAAAATTTCATAACAAGGGTTTATCACATCCTAACAATATAAAATTAGCCATGCATATTATCAAAGTTAAACACGCAAAAGTTAAAAGACAACACCAAAATTTGACAAAGTGTGCAAAGTGAATCCGCCCTCTTTTATTCTTCTTCATTTTTCTTTCAGTGTGTTGCATGTGTTTTCCTTTAATTTCAGCTTTTGTTGCATGTAAAGATATATTAATGGCTTTGAATTCTTTGTTTTTCCTCCCAGTTGGCAGCCCTATATGTGCGTGTATATTCTCTTCCCAAAGCTGCTGCTTATTTTTCTTCAGTTTCTCCTCAAAAGTTACTGCCAATGTGTGTATATCAATTCGACAGCTGGCAACCTTATATATATATATATATATATATATCTTGAACTGAGGCACAGAAATGGACAGAAAACAATTGCTCACAGAATTAAGGAACTCTCTTCCTAATTGGAATCTCTCCAAGACAATGTTTTGGGTATTTGAAAATCAATATCAACCTTTATTAACAACGAACGGTGGCTTTAAAAAGCCAATTTACAATAACGGAATGGAGAAAATTAAGCAACTAATAACTAGCTAACTCCCACGATACAAAGTCTTAGGAGTGGATTTGCTAAAACAAGGGAAGATTGGCTAAAACAGGGGAAATGGGGCCAATTTATTATAATTGAAATTGAAAGTGAAAGAGAAAATGCAATTGCAAACCTAATTTCTCCAATTTTTACTTCTCCATTTCCCTCTCGTCTTCGCCTTTCACATTCGGACGCCCGCTACCTTTGTCTCACTCGCCGGCTATCTTATTTTCTGGCCAAATCATCGTCATCGATCATGGGGGAGATCGGTCGTCGTTGCTGCCTCCAGTCATCGGCTTTGAAGATTTTGAAAATCTGCGGTTCAGTTATTTCTTGCCGCCGACGGTTACCCATAGCCTCTCCGGTATCTACCACTGGCCCACTGCACCGTATTTGTGACAACAGACTCCGTGAGTCCGTGACTCGTGAGCCTCCTGTCTCTCTCTCTCTCTCTCTATTTTCTTCAAAATTGGTTCAGTTCGTGAGCTCCTTCCTCGCATGTGAAGTTCTTTATTCTCTTTTAGTTTCATGCTTCCTATATTATTGTCATTATTAATTGTTGATACTGTCACTTCCTTTCTGTATTATTACTTCCTTTCTGTATTATTATCTTATTTAAGTTGATGCTTCTGTAGTTATTAGGAGAGTGCTTCTTCTGGAGATAAGTGCGTTTATGTACAAACTTTCTGCTAACATTAGTATATTGAAAATTCCAAGTAGATCTTCATACGACGAATGAATAAAATAACAAAACTTGGGAGCATACGTTGTGTGATCAAACAATGTCCTCATTTCAGCTGTAAGTACGTGAGATGAAATCTAATGATGGCCACTTTGTTCAAATAATGGTCAAGATAGTGTTTATTCAGTTCAGCCTGGTTGTAGCATTTAGCATTCTCATTGAACTCCAAGGATGAGTATAATCCTCAACAATTTAAGATGATAAAATATTTTCTGGTCAATCAATATCTCAAATATCCAAGACTATAAGGAAATAAATAGCATATCCATATTTGTATCATACTGGTGGATTTAGAAGGATGAGATTATTAAGCTTTTCCTGGTGAAAACTGGTGAAAAGTATCCCTATAAAAGAACATCATAAGCTAATATTCGTCAAAATTAGAGGCCAGTTGACAAATAACTTTGGAAGTATGGTTATAGATCCAGATTCAAGATGACATGTACCTGGACAACAAGAGTAACCTTATCTTTTGAGAGTTCATTGATAACAGATTCCAAGGATGAGACATATTCTGCAAGCCAGAAGGAAACTTTTAGCGTTGATAGTAGATATTTTTCTTTAATAGTGACACGACAACTAAATAAAATCTTATGGCAGAAAATACCATTCAAAGTGTAGTCAAAGCCATATTTGGGTTGAGGTTTATCTGAAAAGCCAAATCCTGTAAGAACAAGAATGCCAAGAGAATTTAATAATGATAGCTTTATCTAAGCTCATGCAGCAAAAAACTATTTTAAACTACTGTAACGGGACTTCAGGAATGACAGATCATTTATGCCACGAACAAGAAAGAATTTAGTGTAAAACATTACTCAAAACTGAAACATAACGGAAGTACTTATTTATGTTTGTGTGAATTACAAAAACTATGCAAATAACTGTAATTTCTAGTAAGAAAAGTGAGCTTAAGCTTACCTAGCCAATCAAAAGCAATAGCATGATAATTCTTTGAGAGAATTGGTAGAACTTTGCGATAAGAATACGCCTATAACAGAAAGATATAAGTATTTTTTTCAGGTACTACTCATCACGAAAATCTAAATAGACTGAAAAATTTTCCTTAATGCTCTATTTGAAGGTACTACTCATCACGAAAATCTAAACAGACTGAAAAAGTTCCCTTAATGCTCTATTTGAAGCAGTGAAATCTAAGGTAAAATATACCAAAAAAGTTAGAAGTGGATTACATTGTATCCTAGAGAAACTGAGAGGTCTGATATCTGAACTTGTAACTCAATGTTAATAGACCTCAGAGTACACCCATTTAGATATATTGGCAAGAAAATTTGGATTCAGTTGTAAGCTTTTATCAAATATCAGAAAAATTAAGATTTCAGTACCACTATATAGTGAGAATATAACAATATTATCTTGCAGGATTTAAGTATGCTTTCATATCCAAATGAATAATTACGTGGCGAGAAGTTGTAAATTATGCAACAACTACCAAAGGAATAAGAAAGTTCGAATTATTCCCACTTTTCAACTGGACTAAGTATATGTGTGAAGGGACTATATTTATATCTTGTTTTCATTAATTGAAAGTAGCAGAAAAGCATAAGACTCACCTGTGAAGGGAAACCATGAATCAGTATGACTCGTGGATTTTCAGGGCTTCCACTTTGTACACAAAACCATCTATTGTACAAAATGAGCATGTTTCAATTCATAGCCCTGCAAATAATCCGTACTCAATATCTGAATAACATTGATTGCTAACCCATAACATTAAGGTCATGTTTGGTGTACAGTATTAGACCGGTCTAGAATAGACAAGATATAACTTTCTTTCCTTCCGTTGTACTTCCTGGGACTCTACAATCCACCTTACCTAACATGTCATATTTGTTCTTGTAGTGCTTGTTGCTCCCAGAAACACATTATTTAACAAAAGTCTCATTTAATTACCTAAAAAGATCAGATGTGGCCTGTGAAGAACCACCCATTGCAAGTCCGAAGATTGGATCCTTTGCTTTCTTTCCTGTGCCACCAACGGGATGGGCTTTCATCTGAATACAACATACCCATCAATCAACATCCAAATGAGCCTAACCCCTTTAAATTTTAAAAATTTTGGCAGAAAAATGAAGTCAATAAGTTGTAATTTTGTCTTCATTTCAAAATGAAGCCAAACAGAAGTCCAAATAGCATACTATCATTCCTTGCTTGAACCATTCATCAGTCGGGCTTGGTTCATCAGAATACTTCCCTGTCAAAAATTATGCTTTAATTTCAGAAAAAACCATTATTAAAATTTATTCATTTTCAATAAAACATAGTTAAAGCTGGCCAGGATGGGAGGTCCGTATTATCAATCTTAGTTCCAACTTCCAAACCTCCACTGAAAGAGAACCCATCTCCAACTGAAACGAGAGCATCCAACAAATAATCCTATAACATTAATTAAACGTCAGAATCATAATGAAAAAAGAAACCTATTATTCAGAAATTTGTATCTACCTCATTAGAATTACTGCTTGATTGGCAACAGAATCGGTAGAGTTTCTTATTCGTGAAAAATGGGAGCTTTGATATGAGAGGGAGAGGGAGAGGGCGAGGGCGAATATTTACCGAAAATGTGAGTAGAGAATTGAATTGAAGTGATGATGAGGAGAATGGGATTGCCATGGAAAGGATTCAAAAGAAGGAAAATGGTTTTCAAAAAAGAATGGCAGTTATGACAGTTGGTTTATAGGTAGAAATACGACATCTTGGATGAGATATATCGTTGAATTTGTACTGAGAATCTTAGGAAGTTGTATAATCTGCATACACATCAAATCAACGAGGTATACGAATTGGGAAGGAACATGTACTACCAGGATCCACAGCAAGCAGTTGTTGCTTGCTTCCTGAGCCTATACTTGGTGAACTCCCTGGGCTGAGAAGAAAGCTTAGAATTTGATTTAAAAAATTGAACAATTAGGGATTGTGGTTTTGTGGAGTGTAGATTTCGGAAGTATAATTATCTTGGTGGTATTGACTAATGCAGTCCTCCTCTATGGAATTATAAAGTAATTTCACATAACTTTTGAATTTCAGAAGTTTTGAGTGTTTACAGTTGGGAATGTGAGTTGATTAATTTACATTTTGCAGGCACAGTGGCCAATGTGAAATTGGCTTAGAAGGAGGCTCAAGGTGTTGCTGAGAAGAGGAAAGGAAGAAGAGGTCAGGGAATTGTGAGTCGTGAGTGCTCCGAGCTGTTTTGTGCTTCCTAATATTAGATATGTTTTGCTTACTACAGTTTTGTCTTGAATTGCTATTGTCTTAGTCAGAGTTGGTGTTTTGACTTAGCATATTTGCACGTTGTTGCCTTCAATTGATATTGTCTTGAATTGCTATTGTCTTAGTCAGAGCTGGTGTTTAGTAGTCTGGACATAGCCGTTGAGGTGTACTTATCGTATTTGCACGTTGAGAACTGTATCATGAACTACTTCCAAAATGTACACAATGTTTTACACTATCACTCTCCATGCATAGACATGAAGTGTTAAATCACTTACCACCGAAGTGTCGTTCCCGACAGTTCGCGACAGAAAATCTCAACAGATGGAATAATCGACAGATGAACTGTCGTTCCCGACAGTTAGGCTCAGTAATTCTCGACAGATGAGCCTCTCCACCGATGAACTGTCGGGAACAACAGTTCATTTGTTCCCTAGTTATCAAATTTGGTTCCGACAGTGCACGTAAGTTTCGCATTAAAAATACTGTTATGCTATGATGTCACGATTTTGTTCATTGATCCGTCGTTGCAACATCGTACGTGTGTTTCGCATTACTGTTACTCAAACGTATGATCTCACGATTTGTTTAGTGGTGCCAACATTGCATGTGTGTTTTTGCTTTTGCATTAATATAATTGCAATGCTATGATCCGGACATTTGTTGATTGATTAGTCATTGCACCTTGTTCGTTGAAATGTGGTTCTATTATTTTTGTCACGACATGTCGTGTGTCTTCAAAAACTACTATCTGACGTATTAAATTTATGTTAAACTGCAGGAGGGTGCATGGATTTTGAATATCTGGTTCCAAAGAATGCGCGGTTGAGGGCCCACATCTCACAGCGAAGCAATCTACGGTATGTGAAGACAATGCTGGAGCATTTCGATGACCGGCAGCGTACGGATTTCCTAGGTTCGAGATCTTCAATTCTCAGCCCAACTAATCCAGCAGCTCGTTTTTCGCTACATACGAACTGAAAAGGCCAGCGAAATATGGTTTAAAGTGCAAGGCCACTCAGCAAGGTTTGGCTTGCTAGAGTATGCTCTAGTCACGGGTTTAATGTGTGGTCTTCTTCCAGATGACGTTGCGATGGACCGAGTTCTACAAAAGAAGAGGTTGAAGGATAAATACTTCAAATCAATGAACAGGATTTCGTGTGGCGAACTTGAGAAGGCATTTCTCCGGCCGTCGACGCCCCGAGCAGATCGGTACAAGCTCGGGCTTGCTCTAATCATCGAAGAAGTGTTCAATGCTCCGGATAGCCATGCCGTTATTAAACTTCCCACACTGTCGATCATGGATGATCTGGACATATTCTATTCCTACCCTTGGGGTAGAGTATCGTACATTCGTCTAATAAGGGGCTTCCGACGCAGACTGGGACGAAAATTTGTAGATGCCACAAATAAGAAGGAGAAGGTGGCTACTTATACAGTTCACGGCTTCCCCATTGCCATGCAGGTACTACACACAAATTTTGTACAATGTATTCATTATTTCATCAGAAATGTATTGTCATTGTTAATGTTCAACTCATAGTTACTATTTGCTGTAACAGATCTGGGCATTCGAGGCAATGCCAGAAATTGGGGATAGGTTTGCTCGACGATTGGGTCATCAATCCCCACGGCTTCTGAGTTGGACGTGTACCAAACAACCGCAGCAACGGACGTATGATGCATTCTTCAAGAACATTAAGGTATTGGATTGCGTTTCATGCATGCGATCTGCATGTGCCATTACTTGTTACATTTTTGGTGACACTCAGTTCCTTTATGTTGCAGCTGCACGTGTCCGCGACGCTTCGTCCCATCGAAGCCGAGCTTGGGCAACCATGTATCTCCACCCTCTTGCCGTTTGAAGATCGTACTGTACCTGCGTTGGACGAGGTTGCAAGGGACATTATCCCTACACATCGTGACCCAGATCTTTTGCCCAGTGGGAGAAATGTTGGAAACTCGAGGGGGGAGTGCGTAATGGTTTTCCAGTGGAGGAGGCTCCGAGGACGATGATGAGCCGGGCGATAGTGAGGATGGGGAGCCCGTGAGGAGACCGGAGGTGATAAGAGTGGAAATAGCAATGGAGAGGCCTCGAACAAGGGGGATAGTGGGGACAGTGAGGATGACCACACTCGCACATTGCAGACTGGGACATATTCCTCCCCTCCCATGCACAGACGTACTTCTCCCATTCATGCACCCTTCACATCTCATGAACGACAAGGTCAAACCTCTGGTGCGAGCCTCACGAGAGATGAGGTGGAGGAACTATTGCTCGATCAAAGAACGCTCATCGAAATTCGCCTGCACACGTGAAGCTTGAGATCATGCAGCATGTGACCTATGAATTTGTGAAGGTCAGGGACTTCATTTCTACCCTCGTCCCCCCAGCTCCCTCTAGAAGTACTCCACCTACGGCTCAGGCGGCAAACGAGCCCACAATTTTAGCTACTTCAGTGCATGGTATGTGTACTGCATTTAAAATGTTATTTATTATATGTTACATATGTTTGCTGACATTGAGTGCACATGGGATTTGTGACTTAGACGGAAATGGAGGCGAGACCGACCCTGTCCCGGAATGTGCGGAACCGCAAGGTATGTGCATCAATTACTATGGATACATTTTCATCTCTTCTTTACTATTTGATACTAGCAAATACGTAATCCCCTTACGTTTTTACAATTGTTGTTTTGTAGTGCATGGAAGAGGCTTCTTTCCATTGCCGGTCGATCATGACGAAGATATGGACAAGAAAATGCAAGAGCGAAACGGTACATGTCTTAAGTATTGCATAATATTTGATTTCGTACATAGGTCTCACCTCATTCGGAAGTGTGTATACTGTAAACCCTGAACGACACGCAATTTCTAATATTGGGTATGTTGGTACTCATGCGTAGGTGGAGCCGGCATGGAATCCGAACCAGCACTGAATGGTGACGACGGCGACGTAGCTTTCGGTGGTTTGGGAAAACGTGAGGACGACGGTGTTGCGTCCCCTACTGGCGTAGCGGAGGCGGACGGTACGTACACTACGGTGGATTACTTCTATTTCACTGCTTAGAGTAACGCATAATATTTGGATCATTTACTTACATATGACCTCATGCACTAGTATGTATTCTCGATTGTTTGAAGTATACAGTGTTACTAATATTTCGTCGCATGTTAATTTCATACTAGGTGGACGCGGCATGGATTCCAAACCAGAAAAGAGCAGTCACGATGATGAAGTGTCTTCCAGTGGTTCTACCTCTTGGACAAACCTGTTGCGTCCGCTAGTGGTGTAGCGGAGGTGGATGGTAAGTACATTGCGGTGGAGAGCTCATCATGTCACCCTAACCCAAAGTCGTGATGCAAATGGATGAAGTGCTAATTAAAGTGGAATTGTTTTGTAGGCGGTGCGAGGAACATGCCGGGGGGGCCAGCATACCCGTGCAATGCAATGACCCACCCACCACAAAAAGGCGACGATCGACATGCGTCCGACGTTCTGCTGTATCTACAAAGACTCCGTACACCAGGGGGAGGGCGAAGAGAGTGAAGAAATAAGGTATTTTTAGCGAAACATTTACATGATTTAAAGTTTGTGTGGACTTCATCTTTGCGTAGTCGTACATTTATGTTATTCTAAAGGAGCATGTCGAATAGTATACGAATATTCTCCGTACTGTTCATATCACATGCAATTCAAAGAAAATATTG